TGATCTTATTTCTATTTTTACCCGTAAGAAAAAATGTAACTGAATTGAATATCCTGCAAGACTTAATGATATTAAAGAACATACATGATAGAATATGTTACAATGAAAAATATGTATATATAATGAATATATCAAAGGAAAAACAAAATTTCTGTAGTGCTGTGTGTCAGAACATTTAAATGCTTGGACTAAGCAGATATTGAGAAAGTGGAAGGCTATTAGGAAGTGTATTAGCAATAAGACATAATTAATCTCTTTTCTCTTAGATTCTCATTTTATCTACCCTTTTCTATATCTACATAGATATATGAGAGAGAGACAGAGAGACAGAGAGCGAGGATAAATATAATTACATATTTGACTAGATATCCAAAAGATGAAAATGAAGAAAAATGGTACACAAATTTGCAAATTATGATCAACTAAGTTATTAGTTACTGTTGCTCTTACTGTTTGTGCTGTAGCTTTCTCATTAAAAATAAATGACTGAGATTAGACTGGACTGAAAAAATTTAGAAAGCAATGTTACCTTAAATAAATTGTGTGCAAAGTCTAAAACAAGAATTATTCTTACCAAAACAAAAATCATGACAAATTTTAATATACTGTACACACAAAGTCAAAGTACTTTGTATCATTAATTTTCTAAAAGTAAGATATAATTTTAGGTATATTTCAACTTGTCAGATATTCTCAAGAAATGCAGCATTATTACAATCAAATCCTTAATTTAAATAAAGTTATGTTTTTCAAATACAGATTTACTTAAAACATCAGTTTTTTGTATTCACTATGCACATGAAATTGAGAATATTTTATAAAATTTGCATTAGCTCATTCTTACAGAAAAAGTATACTTATTTTGTTTATAAATATCTATACTCCATGAAACAAAATATAAAACATATTACATGTACATAATTTTCTGGAAACATCCTAAGTATAAAAAGAGGTTTTTTAAAATTTTAATTATTAAGTCCAAGTTGTAAATACTTGCAGTGAATACTACACTGAGATATTTGTAGATTTAAATAAACAAAATATAATAAAGTATTAAAATTGAAGCATTGTAAATACAAACAATGCAAAGTTGCATACTATAAGTTTTAAAATTACCAAGTAGTACAGACACATTATTTCTTTGTTAAAATCAGAAATTTGAGCATATGAAAATGAATTTACAGAGTGAATTCTGATGAATACAATAAATGTCATAAGGGAATTAAAAAGTGAAAACCTCAACCAGTACTTTATATTGTCCTTAAATCTTCTATTATAGAAACGGTTAACTGTTATGATTATAACTGTTACTTCTATTACAATTGTTATTTATTTATTTATTTATTTAGAGACAGAGTCTCACTATGTTATCCAGGCTGGAGTGCAGTGGCAGAATCTCAGCTAGCTTCACATCCTAAGTTCAATTGATTATTGTGCCCCAGCCTCCTGAGTAGCTGGGATTACAGGTGCACACCACCACGCCAGCTAGTTATTGTATTTTTAGTAGAAACAAGGCTTCAACAAATTGGCCAGGCTGGTCTCAAGCTCCCCACCTCAAGTGATACACCTCCCAAAGTGCTGGGTTTACAGGTGTGAGCTACAGCACCAGACCTGCAATTATTATTTAATGTGAGATTTAAATAAGTGTTTAGTAAAGTATAGATGGGAAATTTGTTAATTTTTTAAGTTATTTTATTTAGAATCCTTGAAGGTGTTTAAATACTGTTTATTCAACCTTTAGAAATTATAATAATATAAAACAGCTTATATTATACCACTTAATAAATTTATTCTACTTAAAAGAAGATTCTTAATACTTCATTCTGATATCTACATATATCATGTAGAAGATAAAAGTCTATAAGTATGATAGATACTTATGTATTTGTTTTCAACCACAGTCAATTAGAAATGTTAAAATTCACATTTGACACTTTCTTCCATTGGTTTGCATCAACAATGGGGTAAAATCTCTTTTAATCACACTTAGAACTACATTTTTCTCTTTCTTACTCAAGAAGGTATATGTAAAATCAAATGAATATGACCAACTTAATGATAGGGAAAATGCTTTCTCCTAATTTGTTTTATACAATAAACTTTGTTATTTTATCTTGTTTTAAAAGTGAGTCCATATGGTATCAGCCATAATTGATTGAGACATATTAATGAGTGATGCTCCATTGTCTTAATACAGACTGTTGTGCAATAGATCTGATATAGTAGACAGTAGAATGTTGCACATTATGGCATGGGTGACTTTTTTCCCTCAATTTCTCTCATTTAAAACAGAGGAAATTTAAAGTATAGAGATTGTCTTCTGAAGTTTAAATACTGAATTTGTGTCTAAGCTAAGCAATTATAATTATTATCCTTATTATTAATATTGCGATTTATTGATAATAGTTTTATTGTTTTAATATTGTTAGGTATTGCCATATGCTTAAAGCACTGTTCTAAAAATTTTATAAACAATTATTTAGTCATAATAGTAATGCTAAAAGTTATTTAATTTGCTCAAGAAAACTACGTAAACACTGGCAGAGCCAAGATTTAAACCCAGGCAGTTTCACTCAATAGCTACAGTTTTTAACCACTAAATGCTATCAAATAATAAGCAGTTATTATGTATTGCATGCTATAGACTCTTAGGAATGTATAAAGTCATTTAAGGGAGTTCATAAAAAATTTTAACAATTGTTGAACTCTTACCAAAATTCTCAATTAGTGTGTTATTTGGTCCTTACAGTAGCCCTAAAAAACATCTTCTATAATTAGTCTCATCTTTACAGATACAAAAATAATTGAAAAATAGAGATGTTACAGAAGTTGACCGAAGTGTTAGGAACTTGCCTAAGATAAAAAAAGCTAGTAAAAGGCAAACTTGCCTTTGCATCCTGGCCTATAATTCCAGAATACATGTTCATATTCATTATTAGTCTGCTGTATAACCAGGAGAGCTGACATGGCACAAGTGGTGCCTTTTAAGTTAATAACAATTTGAGGTAACAATACATTTATTATTATGAGGAAGTATAAGATTAGATATGCATGTATGATCAGCAATATATTTGTTATTTCAAACTAATGTTAATGAACTGATAGGTAATTCAGATTATCTGTATGTTGGTAATTGTACTTGTTTATGTAATGCAGAGCACTAAAGTCAGAGTGGAGAACTGAGAGTGGAGAGCTGCATGCCTTGTTGGAACAAGTATGTGAATGTTCCTGGGCAATTCACTCCAGGACTAGCAGCTGGTTGTTTTGCCTTCGTTTTTAAAAGATCTGTTCATTTCCTTCAGAGATATGCTGTTGCTCCTAATCAAACATTTCCTCAAACATCATTCACAATATGTGTTTCTCTAAATAAATATGAGTCTCTCATTGCTTAGTATTATATGAAATGTATATTTTTAAAATTACCTAATTTACACAGGTTTTAACTATGTACATCTCTCATGTGATTTTAATCAGTTTTATAATTTGCTATCATAGATGATGTTATTAACTATTATCTTAAGAGGATAATTATACTTTTCCTCAAATAATTTCAGAAAAACTGCTCCCAATCTATATCCTATTTACAATGTTTGTGTATCATATAATTTTAAAAAGCATTTATACATATATTTTTTGCAAAGAACTAACGGTAAGAATTAAAGCATGAGCATTGCTTCTGTATGAGAGCTATGCCATTTGACAACTCTTTCTTCTTTTATTTTTCTTTCCAATAGTAAAAAAAAGTATTTAAACTTCAAGGAAAAGGAAGCTTCTACTTCCATGATGGTTTCTTTCTATTTAAAGATACTTAGTTATTTTCACCCAGAGCTTTCACGGCATTTTCACACTATCTCATCAGCTAGTCAATAAAGAATTATGCACAGAGCTATAATTCTTTTTTTTTAACTTGTGCATTTTTTTTTCTAAATTGAGCCATGATTCACACTTTTGTAATGTAGGCCTTGATTTATAAACTCAAACCCAGATGTTTGATATTTCTCCATATAGTTTTGTTAAGCATTGCATCTCTTTTACACTTCATATCAGGAGTGTAGAATCCATGGAAACTTAGATCTAAGTCATATGTTCAATGATTAACATTTCTTATATGGAATGACAAAATTATTTTATTTCATATGTTGCTTAACCAAAATATGAAAAGCTTTAATATTTTGATAAAGTACTTTTCATAATGACTATGCTAATTGTAATCTGTGGAAGTTTTGTAAAGTAACATACATATTTTTAAAGAATTACTCTTCCCTTAATGAATGGATGAATTTAGCTAATATGAGCACTAATATAGTTAATTTTATAATTTTGAATGAATGTACACACTATACTCACATCTCAAAAAGCTATAAAAGAAAATTGACCAAACAAAACCATAAAGGAAAAAAAGTAAAACAGAATACCCCAGTGAAAAATTAACAAATGCAATAGAGAAAATGACAGTGCCAATATGTTTATTAAATTAATAAACTCTGTAAAATCTAATTAAAAAAGAAAGATCCCGACTAGGTATCACCAAAAATCCTAGAATGGGAAAAAAATAAATTTATTTCTCAGATTTTTTTTTCCTGCAAATAATTTGTCTGTGTGCAGTAATTCCTCAAAAACCCTAAATTTTATGGAAAAGGAATAGGAAATTTGATATTATATGTTTTATAAAAATGAATTTATTATTTAAAAAACAATTAGAAAATTCCAGGTCCAAAGGGTTTTTAATAGATATCTTCTATATATATATATATTTTTTTAAATAACATCAATCTTATAAATTATTAATTTGAAAAAGTATATAAAATAATGCATGATGATAAAAAGAGGATTATTCCATAAATAAACTAACAATTATTTTAAAATTTGTTATATAATTTACAACATTAAAAGGAAAAAGAAGAAACATCATATGATCAACAAGACAGAAAAACTTTACAAACATGTCACCACCCATTATAGGTTGAGGAAGACATAGTAATACAAGGAACTTACGTTACCTGATAAAGTGTACGAAGAGCATTGAGGTGCTGACAACACTGTTTCTGAGACCAAGGATGACCACTATTAATACATCCAATGTACGATAACAGAGGTCCTAGAGATTGCAAAAAAGCAATGTAATAAAAAGTAAAATCAAAAAATCAGAAATAAGGCATTTTCTTTATTCTTCTAAAAATATTTATCATTTGGAATTTCATGTATCCATTTACCCAGACATTTCTCCAAAGCTATTCACTCTTTTTCAGGAATAATCATAATAACTATTTCAAGCATAATAAAATGTTTTAACCTTACTTAGTTTGTTAAGCATATCTGCAGTAACATAAATTTTTATTGAACTTCTTTGAGCTATGTTTTTTTCTTTGTTAGTTCTAAGTGTTCTTGACAAAGCTGAAATTATCAGTAGTTGATGAGTAGGTACTTTCAGTGACAGGGTTTTGTCTTTAAATGTATACTTTTGATATCAGGTAGAAAAAATACTTGAACACTCTCCAAATATATTTATGAAGTTTTTTTTTCACTTGAAAATATTATAGACAGGCTTTAAAAGGCTTTAAAAGGATGTATTTCTTAATCTTGTTTAGGTTTGTTTTGTAGAGAAGGTTCAGGCTAAGACAAACTTGTATTATATACTAGCTTTTTCAAATATTTCATTTAAAGCATTCTGGTGTATTTTTTTGATTGAAAGATATAAGGTACTTCTTCACCATTATTGTCTTCATATTTCTAAATCAGCTAAATGACTCAAGGTTGAAAAAGCAGTCAAGTCTGAATATTACTGCATTTCCTGAATATTGAAGATACTTTAGGTTGTGGACAAGAATCTGGAATTCATCTTTAGTATTGAAGATGAATAAGATCTTTGAATGTGTAATCTATGAGGAGAAAGAGATAATATTTTTAATTCAGTGATATTGGTTTCATTATGACCTGGGATTTTTAAAAATTATGTCTGGCTGTATTCTAGTCAATGTTGAGTAAATTATCTATATGAAGATTCAATACTGAAAAAAAATGACTAAATAATTTCTAAGATACCTTTCAGTTCTAAGATCCCTCATTCTGTGGCTGAGTAAACTCTTTCTGTGATTGTTTCAGCTTTCTTAGGAACATCAATATCTCTCACTCCACTAACTGAATCCCTGCAAAGTTGGTCTAAAGCAACTGAAAAAATAATATACCAGTTATACCCTGGCTCAGTGATTTCCACTGTTCAAATGATAAAAGAGGCTTTGCAATAAAGTAATGTGATTCTTTGTGTGCCAGTTGATTGACTAGTGCTATGGTCAGAAAGATCTAAACGTGATGAATTGGAAATTTTTATCATAACATTTGGATATAGACTTACTACAGATGGAATATGACTTCAAATGATATGAACCAGCATCATAAAACACAATATTTAAAATAGAGACTAGCATTTGGCAAAAATGGAAGCTGACCTTTGGAGATCATTAAGGTTTATGTGCTTAAATCTTAACAGTCTTTTGGAAGCATATACATGCTTTTTTTTTACTATGTTCCTAGCGAAGAACATAATTGACTATTTTATATAGTGCTGGTAAAGCTAATAGTACCTTAATTTGAATAACCCCCCGTTGGCTAGAGATTGTTAAAAGCAAATAAGGACAACACAGTTATGCTCAGGCAGTAGTAATCAGTTTTTCTTCCAGCAGTTATGTGACTATGTCTGAAGATATTTTTGATCTTCAATGAAATACGTTACTGGAAACTATTGAGTAGAGGCTAACAATTCACAGCAGTATCCCTCACAACAAAGAATGATCCTGCCACAAAAGTCAATGATTGAGAGTCTAAAAGATCCTGAAGTGGCAAATGAAAGAAAAACATAGCTTGTTACTTTGTTTCATTTACTATCTTAAATTTTTTAAGAGAACTTTTAATTAATATTGAAAGAAGTTAAAGTAAACATGGAAAAGAGGAGTTTACCACAAATCAATTATAGACAATTTTATCTGGGCACAGTATTTTTATACACATGAATAGATAACATAGGAGGAAAAGTTAGCAGAAATGAGCTTTGCATAGAGAAAGGAGGATGGCTAGATATAATTTGTCAAAGAAGCAATAAATTTCCACAAATATAAATGGGTCAGGAAATTGCTGATGACTGTTTGCAATTATGTTAAAGTTCAGTTGATAATCTTCCTCTTCTTCTACTACATGTAATTCTAAGTCCGCATGCTTGTCGGCAAATCCACATTTGTCCCTGGAATATCTCATTCTCAAATGTTCTCTCTAAGTTTTGGGGTTTTGTTTTTGATTTTTGTTTGTTTTTGTTTTAGTTATCAGCATTTAGTCCCATACATACTAAACTAATGTATCAGAAAGCAAATATCTTTTCCTCTACATCTCTGCAGATTTTCTGATGCAGTGTCAAGAAAGAAGAGCCACTTTTCTATATCCATGTTCTGTCTTTCCTAAATAAGTTAGGAATCAGTTGTTTTAAAAACTGAGTATTACTTGAACATGTAAAAATCCATACACTGAGCTGGGCACAGTGACTCACGCCTGTAATCCCAGCACTTTGGGAGGCCGAGGCAGATGGATCACCTGAGATCAGGAGTTTAAGACCAGCCTGGCCAACATGGTGAAGCCTTTTCTCTACTAAAAATACAAAAAAATTAGCTGAGTGTGGTGGCAGGCACCTGTAATCCCAGCTACTCTGGAGGCTGAGGCAGGAGAATCGCTTGAACCCTGGAGGCAGAGGTTGCAGTGAGCTGAGATTGTGGACCATTGCACTCCAGCCTAGGCAATAAGAGTGAAACTCAGACTCAAAAAAAAAAAAATCCATATATTATTCATTGAATTTCTTTACCAGAAAAAAAAATTTTGAAACAGATATAATATTACATGATTCCCCCATGGTTTCTCAATAATTTTATTTTTAGATGCTGTCAAAAATCAAAATTATAAAAAACTGCAAATGTTCAAATAAATATTCTAATTTATAAAGGAAATTACCATAATATCTTTTTAAACAAAATTAGTAGGATACTTGGGATACCAAGCAAAATATAGGCTGGGTAACATATAATATCAGAAATATTTTTTAAATTAAATCATTCTCAGGAATAATGTAAAAGATAAGTCATGCGCAGTTACTAAGTTAGGCTCAGAGTAGTCACTATAGAAAAATTTAGACAGGAAGAAGTCAATAGCTTTCAGTGTAAAAAGGAATAAAGAAAGCTAAGAACCTGGAGTAAACCAATAAAAAATAAGGAAAAGAAGAACGGCCGCATAGTGTAATGTTTCAATTATAATTATGTTTAGTGACATCATTTCTGAGGAAAAAATATGAATCATGATCATAGAATCAGTGACTGAGGACAAGCGAAAAAGAGTGACTGGAATATATGACATCAAAATCCTTGGTGTAAAAACGAAGAGGCCAGAATAATTCTCTTTTACCATCAAATGTACCAGTGATGTTGTCAGAATCTGATGTGTCATGCATACACCCAAATCATCATTGTATCAAAGTATGGTTTGTTGACTAATCCAATGTTAATAAAGGGCTCAAAAACTATTACAATAGTTTTGAATAATGCCTTCCTTGTCTGCTTAACTTCCTGTGGTGCAATTTCTATTTGACGTAAGGCTAAGCCTAGAAGGATATTTTCTCAGTCTGTTTGGGCTGCTATGACAAAATGGCTTAAATGGGGTATTTTATAAATAAAAGAAATTTATTGCTTACAGTTCTAGAGACTAGGAAGTTCAAGATCAAAATGACAGCAGATCTGGTGTCTGGTGAGAGCTCACTCTTGATTTCATAAATTGTACCATGATGATACATCCTCAGATGGCAGAAAAAGGCAAGGAAGCTCCCTAGAGCCTCATTTCTAAGAGCACAATCCCATTTATGAGGGTGGAACCCTCATGACTTAATCATTCCTCAAAGGACCCTCCCTTAATACCATCATATTGTATATTAGATTCTAACATGTAAATTTTGGGGTGGAAGGCACAGACATTCAGACCATGACCATTGCAACCTTGAATTAATAGCTTAGGTGGGTTTCTTTTGGTTTAGCTAACACTCCTTTTTTACACAATGGATGTAACTGCAGAAACTGGAATAAGCATTTTTTATGGTTCTTAATAATTGGTCACAGTATTTTTTTTTATAATTTTTCCATCTCCACATAGATTTTATTGGATCAATTGTGGGAGTTGCCTCAAAATTACATATTACATCAAAATGGAAAGCATTAACTATTACATATGAGGTTTCTTGATAATGGAGAACCTGGCTTAAATTTCTTTTTATCCAGCATCACATCTGAAGAAGAATGGTGAAACCTGACATTTAATACATGTTTTGCAAGGCAGGAAAATTCTGACCACAGTTAATTCATGGGTGACGAAAATCACTGGAATAGAAAACAGGTGCAGCATCACACTAAATACACTTAAGGAGATTATTTCATCTGTTTATAATCATGATGGTTAATGCTTAGTTATATCTATACAATTTCAGTAAATGAAATTGATCACCATATGGCAGAGTTTGACTTTCTGACTATAAAAGAACACTCACTCACACACACACGCACGCACAGGCACACACACTCATATGGTGTCTGTTTAATACACAAGTGATCCTCTAAAAGATCTACATTTGTAGCTATGTAAATATAGTTCAATACACATGAAATTTTGAAATTGCAAACTACTTTAAGAAAAAAGGTATTCTATCTTTACACATTACAAAAAGATTTACCACTGAGTGCATCTAAATAGAGGCATACCTTACCACATTTCACTGTTTTATGGACCATTAACAACTTGTTCAAAGGGAGTAACATAAACAGTCATCAGCAATTGAAGATCACAGTGAAAAAAAATAAACTTTATCCAAGATATATAGGGTGTTGCAATTATAGAAATTTTACTAGCAGGTATTTTACTTATAAGAATTTCATATACACATATATATATTTTTGTATATATTTAACAACACAAATTAAGTATGTTGTTTCTTTCTGGAGACTTAAGCCCTTAATATTGAGATTAAAAGGAAGAAAAATTTTTGTGCACATTGTCATTTATTTAATACTCTGGAATAGTCAT